GCACCCATGATGACAAGTATGACTATCCCTTCACAGTAAGAAAGCCGTGCAGTCTCCTGTGCATGAGCAGTGGTCCTGCCAGCTGGAGAGAACCAGGAAGGAAGCTACGCAGCTTCTCTTGTGCCAGCAGCAGACTACACCGCGGGGGAGAACCAGGAAAGAAGCTACACAGCCTCCCACGTGCCAGCAGTGGCCACACCAGCTGGGGAGAACCAGGAAGGAAGCTAAGGAGCCCACCAGCTGCCAGTGGTGGCATTGCTGGCTGGCAAGAACCAGGAAAGAGGCCACTGCCCACCCTTCACTGTGAGCCAGGCAGTGTACAAGCTGGGAGAGAAGAAACTCCTCACTCCATTAGCAACCAGCTGACTTGGAGGGACACAGTCTGAGATGATAACAACTGAAGTAAAGAAACAACCTAACGCTTACATTGTGTGATTGCATTTGTAAGCCCAAAGCTGGTAGTTTGGGCAACTATTTAGAGGTTAACAATATGCAATATAGTAACTATTGTGGATTTCCTACAGTCTTATCACTGTTTTGTTTTTATTGTTCTATTTTATTCCCTTAAAAAAAAAGTTTAATGATGTCCAAAATGCAATTCACTCCTAAGGAATTTAAAATCTAGTAGGTCCAGCCCTAATTGAACAAATACATTTAAAAAGGCATTATGTGCTGTGTAGAGTAATGTGGTCATGTGGAACAGCTGGTCTTACTCTGTGACAGAAATTTGAGACAGATTCCCTGAAAAAGTCAACAGTGAGCATATATGAAATTAAAAAGAAAGCACAAAAAGTCCATAATAAAGCTATAGTAATCAAAACAGCATGGTGCTGGCTTAAAGACAGAAACACAGATCAAAGGAACAAAACAGTCAGAAATAAATCCAAGCATTTATGATCAATTTATCTTCAACAAAGATGCCAAGAACACACCAATGGGGACACCTTCAATAAATGGTGCTGAAAAAACTGTCTTCATGTCTGTCTTCTCATCTCTCACTCCCAGGCATGTAACTCAGGGGCACAGCAACTGTCTGACAAGCATGAGGTGATGGGGTGGATTCCCAGTACCAAAAAAAAAAAACCCAAATCATCTCTACACAAAAATCAACTCAAAATGACCAAAAGGCTTAAGTATCTGACCAGAAGCTATTAAAATACTAGACAAAAACACAGAGGAAAGTTCCATGGAGACTGACCTAGGCAAAGATTTTCTGCAAATAACCCCCAAAGCATAAGCAACAAAGGCAAAACAGACAAATGGGACGATATACAACAAAAAGCTTCTGTACAGCAAAGGAAACAATCAAGAGTAAAGACACAATCTACAGAACGGGATGACATATCTTCATACCAGACATCTAATAAGGGGTTAATATGAAAAATGTATAAAGAATTCAACTCAACAGCAAGAAAACAAAAAACAAATACAAATGGGCAAATGGCCTAGTAGATAGTTCTTAAAAAGATGTGCAAGGGCTGAGTGTGGTGAGTGGTGCACATCTGTTATCCTAGCACTTGGGAGGCTGAGGCATGAGGAGCACATCAAGTCTGAGATTAGCCTGGGCTATTACATAGTGAGTTCAAGCCCAGCCTGAGCTACAGAGCAGGACCCAGAAGAACAAAAAGATACACAAAAAGATGAAAAACTATTCAATATTATTAATCTTTAGGGTATGCAAATTAAAAGCACAGTAGCACCTCAAAACTATTAGAACAGTTATAAGAAAGATGAAGGCTAACAAGTATTGGTGAGAATGTGGAAAATGGGCAACTCTTATGCACTACTGGTAAAATATTACTTAGTACAGCTATTATGAAAAACAGAATTTGAACACTTTCAAAATATTAAAAATAGAACTCTCAGAGGAAATCATTATGTATCACAAGTATCGGCAACACCATGACCACTGCAGCAAAAGTCACATGAGCCAAGTTATGGAATCATCCAAGTGTCCACTAACAGACAGTTAAAGAAAGTATAGAATATTCCAGGGGTGGTGGTGCCACCTGTAATCCTAGCACTCAGGAGGCTGAAGCAGGAGGATCGCTGTGAGTTCCAGGCTGGCCTGAACTATATAGTGAGAACCTGTTTCAAAAACAAAACCATACCACTCAACCTTAAGAAAGAAGGAAATCCTGTCATTTCTAACAAGAGGAATGAAATGTGGGGCCATCACACTAAGTAAAATAAACCAGGCACAGGGAGACAAAAGCTGCACAATCTTGCTTCTATGTGGAGTGTAAACATGTTGAACTTGTAGAATGGAGAGTAAAAATGATGATTATTAAAGTCTACAGGTGTGTGAGAGTGTTTGTCAAAGGGTACAAAATTTGAGTTGGAGGAATAAGTTCAAGAGATCTATTGTACATGATGGTGACTACAGTTAACACTGTTGTATACAGAAAAATGCTAAGGAGCAGATTTTAAATATTCTTAACACAAAAAAGTGAGATAATACACATGTTAATGTTTGATTCAGTCATTCCACAATGTATACATATATCAAAGCATCATATTGTACCTCATAAATACAATTTTTACTTACCAACTGAAACAAAACAAAGACCCTCACCCAAATAAAAACAAAATAAAAAGCAAAACATCTACCTTCTAGAAACTTAGCCCGAAATATTTCACAGAATGACAACTTCATAGTCACTTTAAAAATCTTGATGAGTTCGTATGTCTCATATTGCTGAACAGCTCCCCAGCTGTTAACTTAGTGCAAAACAAACTGTGCCACTATGTGTGAAGTAGTTTGAATAATATACACATAGTAACACATATGACACATGCACACATATCATTGAAAGGATATAATCACCCTAAGATGAAAAGGTGAGATAATGATTTCTACTTTTGTCCCTGCCCCACAGATCTGTGAGTTAATGATTAAGCTAAAATAAAAGCATGTAAGTGGGCTGTAAGTCAAAAGATCAGTTTATAATTACAATTTTCGTCAATTCACTTGTCCTTTCTGAGACTTCCAACAGTTGAATAATATTAAGCTCTCAGAGTTTACTGTAGGAATTAGATATTACACAACACAATGTTTTTGGAGGTGTATTATGAATTTTAAACCTCTATAAAAATAACTTTAAAAAAATCAAACAAAGCATATAGAATGTTCAGAATTTTATCAACCCTTGTTTATATGATTTTCTTGAGGAGGTCAAATACATTTAAAAAGAATAAGGAAAACATTCAGCTTTCATAACATTAAGCAATTATAATGTACCACAGAAAAAAATTTAATTTATATAGAACAAGGCAATAGAAACATTGTCAGCTCAGAAGAAGTTAAGGTCAATCAATCCTTTTCCATAATAGAAACTGTTTTTGCTAAGTACATACCTACAAATCAAAAGTTCTCCACTTAAAAATGTAAGCTGTATGCTTTAAATCTTTAATTAGACCTCTGTGTTTAACCTACACATTTTAGGTTAATATACTTTCACATGGTTTTCTAAATACTCTGTGGTAAAATAGTAACATTTAATTTGTTCTTGCCTATATCCCCAGCTCCTCAAACACTATTTTCAGCAGTAATGTCGTGACAATGGATGACGAATGAGAAAAAAGGGCAGAACTGTTTTCAACAAAACCTAAATCACTCCACTACTTCATGTAAACAAGGAAACTGTTTCCCCCAACCACTCAGTAGAGGGACAGCTTTCTAAGTCATGCTGAACAAGCAGAGCACCATAAAGTGTGGCAACGTGGTTCAGGAATTTCAAGTACCTTAAAAAAAAAGTAGTCCAGGTGTTTCATGTTCTAACTTGGATACATTTATGTCTAAGAATGTGAATTTTAAAATAGACACCACCTAGTTTAATTCTATCAGAAATATATTTTATGACCTCGAAGCCTGTTTTTTACATTCATTTACTTTTATCTCATAAAGCATGATTAATATTCTCTCATGTTGTTTTCAACTTTAATTCCTAGAAAATAGAATTCAAAATTTAACAATAACTCTTATCATAGAAGACTATATATATGCATATATATGTATATATATCACATAGAGCTTTAATCAAAACTAGCTTTATAAATTCAATATGTGCAAACACCTAATATGATATTACAAGAATGGTATGAAATTATTTTAAGTGTGTAAAAGGTAAATTCCCCAAAAACATTCTTCTTAAAGAAGAATGATCAAGGTGAAGAAATAATACAAATAGTATTAATTAAAATCTTTATAATTACAAATGCTGCCAAATTTAGGACAATTACACTTTAACAATAAAATTTTAAAGGAATGTACAAGTAATGCCTTTTAAATCACTTGACTACGTTAATATTTGTGCTTTTTATTTTTACAATTGTACCATCTGTTTGCTGAAAGTTATAGCTTCCACTTATATAGTTTACCCATTATCTAAAGTGATTTTTTTCACATTTTCAAGTTACTTTAATAAGTTCAGCAGGGTGAAGGTTTTTCAGAGTTTTTCAACTTATTAATTATATAATTTATTAATTTAATTAGGCTTTTTACAGTAATTATAGATTTACATACATAATTTTAATAACATTTAAAATGTAAGCCTTCTTTTACTTTACACTAGCCCTAAAAGCATTTGAATCTCTGAAAAGAGTAAATTATTAACAAATAATGAGAAATAAATTCAGTAATCCATGTGAACACAACAGGGTTTTCCTTTTCTTTAAAAAAATTCTTGTAATGAGATTATCAAAATTAAGAAATAATATCTGGTTATTATCATGAAGCATGTAATTATTTTACAGTATGTGCTGACTTCCCTGGATCACGCATTTTAAAAAAGGGTTGAATTTCAAAACGCAAAATCGTAATGTTTGTACCTAACACTTTCCAAACTGGCTTTGGAATAGACGCCACTTCACCTCGTTCTGTGTCACTTTCGTTTCCTGAAAAGGAAAGGCCTGCACTCACTGGGATCTTGTGCACTACAAACTCAGCCCTCCACTCCTGAGCGGCCATCCAAGTGCTGATAACCACGCCTGCTATTCACCTGTCATCTTCTTTATCTGATGAAGAAGCGCATCTTTTTCTAAGTGAGCCTCTGCAAGAGCCATTTTAGCTTTAGCCAGTTCCTGCTTAAGAGATTCATTCTCTTCCATGAGCTGAAAAGATAAATTGCAAAACAAAAATATTTAAATTATTTCCAGGAAACACACTTATATATCATCCAAAGTACAACTGCTGGGCCAGGGATTTAGCTCAGCAGCATGGTCGCCTGCAAGGTTGTGAGTTCAATCCCCGTGTCAATAACAAACCAAAAAAAAAGTTGACATAGTAAAAATACTCCATGCTAGTAAGGAACCACTTAGACTGTAAATTGCTTTGAGAAATTATTTGGAAACACGTGTCATACAATTAAAAAACGTTCCTAAGTTTTGATTCAGGGATTCAAAATGCTACTCCCTAACTTGCAATTTTAATGGTGATTTTGTTTCACTGGCATACTCTTCAAGGCTTTAGACATCGCTGATGCCCCACTTCTTTCTAAGCCCCTCTCTTTCTCTGGTTTTTATGCCTCTTTCATGCTTATCTCTTCCACCAATTTCCTTTTCATCCTCTGAGGAATCAAATTTTCATGTTCTATCAGACTTCAGTTTGTCTTCCTCTTGACTTTTGAGTCACTCTCTTGGATAATCTGAGCTACTTCTGTGGCTCAACTGCTCTAATGCAGAAATCATGACCTAGCACAAACCTCTCTCCTAAGCTCCAGACATTTTCTTCTGAGTGGCCAAAGGCCTGCCCTATACGTAATTCCAGTATGTTATTCTCTTAAAGCCATTATTGAGCCATTTCCTAAAAACAGCTAAGCACTTTGTATTTATATAGGCACATTAAAATAGACATTTTTAATTTCAGAGTTCTCAGACTATTTTTAGTCCCAAGATTTCCCGCCTTACAGATCAAGTTAGGTACAGTAGCTGCCTACACACTCCATCTCCATAGTAGAGCACTTAGCATGCACCACTATGACCTGAGTGCAAACTCTTATCTCTACCACTAGACTTGGAGTTATTTAGCACATGGAGAAAGCACACTGCTCAACTGTATGTGCCTCATACAGAAATGTCATCCAATAAATCTCTGATGAACAGATGAAAGAGTTCATTCTGTGGTCCTATCAGAGTAAATTAAAATTCTGCTGAACATTTTTTTTATAATGACAAAAAAATCAGAAGCAACCTGAATGTTAACAAATGTTAAGAGGAAAATTCAGAAATCATAATATAACCACACCTATGTTGCTCAGCCATGAAAATTAAATATGAAGCAAACACAGCAATAGGAATATGTTAATCAATATTAAGTAAAAGTTATAATGCTAAATATTAATTTTGAGAAAATGGAAAAGATCCAGAGAATTTTTAAAAAGTCACAATATTGACAGCACCGCAGGAAGGCAGAAGAAATCACAGTATTATTTTATCTTGCTCAACATCACAGTCAAAGACAGCATCTAGCATGGTGCTCAGGTACAACTGGGCACTCGATAGACTTTATTTAAAGAAGTAAACACAATGCTTCAGTTAATAGTACTTAAACAATGAACTCAATTGCTGAAGTGGAATCCAGATTTGGCTTCACGTTACCTGTTCCCTCGTAAGGACAAAGGAGCACTCGGGCAAGTTCGCTGACTGCGAAGGCCACAGGGCCTCTGCGACGGTCTGAGTGGCCTGTGTGACACTGTGCTGCTGCTTCTGACCACCCTTGTTACTGGCTGGCAGCGCAGAGTCACTGCTGACATTTCCTCTCAAATCATTTTCAGTGTTCAGCACATGAGAATCTGATCAAACAAATACAACACTCAGAAAACATTTCAAAATACTGGATAAATCTTTAGAAATAAAGTTTTATGGTAAATAACAAATCTAAAAATGTTTCTATATTTTTTAGTCTGTGGATGGTATTATGAGATAAACAATTTTGAAAACTCAATAAAATCAAGGCAAGTGTGATGGAATCAAGGCAAGTGTGTGGTGTATATCTATGATCTCAGTACTTGGGAGACAGACAGGAGGATCCCTGTGAGTTTGAGCCCCTCCTGAGATAACTAGTGAGTTTAAGGCCGACCTGCACTACATAGCAAAATTCTGTCTCAAAAACTAAAACACTAAAAATAAAAAAACAGTAACACCAAAAGAGCATTCTTTGAAATGATTAGCAAAATTGTTACACCTTTAGTTTAGACTGACCAAGAAAAAAACTGCTAGAATCAGAAAAGAGGATACATTACTGACAACCAAAATAACAAAGGAATGATACTATGCCAATAAAATAGATGAAACAGACAAACTCCAAGAAAGACAAGAATTATCCAAACATATCTCAAAAAAATGATATGAACTGAAAGAGAGCTGGCAAGGGGATGCAATTAATGACGACGACGACGATGACGATGACGATGATAATACCACCCAGAAAGAAAAGACCAGACCCACATGGCTTCTTTAAAAGCTTTAAAGAATACATAATTGTGGAGAACTACAGAGATGACTCTCACTGGCTCTCCTAGGAAAGAAGAGCAACTATCTCCATTTTGCATAAACTTGCATCTCCACGTATTGCTATGCACAAAGCTGGCTAGGTTATTTCTTTTTGTTCCTTTGATTGACTTTAAGCAACATAAATGGGGCTGACTGAGGAGCTAATTTGTAATCTCTGAAGCAAAGCGGACAGAGCAGTGTCACCCTGCCCAGTGATTCCCCAATTCCATGGTTGAGCTGGGAGGGATGGAGAGCCGTGTTCCACACTGTCTTCTGGGACCAAGCCTCAGCCTCGAGAAAGAGGCTGTGACTTCCCAGGGCAGACAGAATTGTACAACAGTGTGGGAGCCATTAAAGCTGTATACACGTGAAGGGCTGTGGCATTGCCTGGGCATGGCTGAACTGAGAATGAGGAGGCACCTCAGGAGGCGAGATAGGCCACAGCTGAGGCCAGCTGGAGACTTTCTGGGGAGGTTTCCTTAAATAATATCATCTGTTGCTCTGAGGAATCCTTGAGCTCATCCCAAGATGCTGTTCAGGTTTCCTGTATTTTCCACCTAACTCCTTGCTTGTTCTGATTAAATACAGGGTGCGCAGGGTCAGTCGGGTGGCCGGCTAGCAGAGTTAAGAACTCTGCAGAGGATATTAGTCCTCCTGCAGCCTTTAAGATCAGGCTGCTTGTCTCATTCACTTGGACTGTCACCGTGCACTCGTTTGAGGGATTGGGGATCTAGGCACAGACCGCAGATGATTAGACACGGCCTCAGCTGTGTTTTGCAGGTTGCTTTCTCTCTCTGCATTTCCTCCCTCTGCTCATCACAGGGGTGATCTTAAACCTCCTTCCTAGCCCGGTTCACAGCAGTCACAAATTTCCCCGCCACTCTCACTGTCACTCACCCCTGAGCCACGCCCCTCGCGGGGAATTAATAAAACCCGGGTTGGACTCTGGGTCAAGGTATTTTTTTTTAGTGAACAACACTTGGCTGGACTTAGGACCCCTTGGCTCCCCACAACTATATATATGTCTTAATGTATTTCTTCTCACTGTGGGCTGCACTGGAAGTTGCACTAGAAAATTCAGATCAATATGCTTCTGAATAGGGATATCAAGATCTATAACAAAATACTAGCAAATGAACCCCCAACAAACAAAAATAGTTACATACCAAAGCCCAAGAGGATCTATCCACTTGGGTTAAGGTTAATACTAAATATATATATATATATATATATATATATATATATATCAGACAATGTAATACATTATATTATTTAAAAGCCCTACATTATCATTTCAATAAATGCACTTTTCATGATAAAATACCAACAGACAAAAAATACAAGAGAATTTCCTCAATCTGATTAAAAGCACCTCTGAGTACCTAACAGTTACTATCGTACTCAAACATCGTATTTATTATGTTAAATATCACATTTATTATGGATATTTTCCCTTTTTGCCAAAAATAAAAAACAAGACAAGGATATCTGCTTTCACTAGGCATAGTGGCACATGCCTATAATTCCAGTATGCAAGAGGCAGAGGCAGGAGGACTGCTATAAATTCAAGGCCCGGCCTAAATAATTTGTGCAAAGCTCTGTAATTGGCTGCCACCTTATTTTGCAGGCCGCACCACCTTAACTCCCTCTAGGAGTTAAGTTTGGTAGTTAAGCAGCACCTTGCCTACCTAGCTTGTTTGGCCTGGCCTATTCAGGAATTATGCTAATCAGCCCACCTTATGAGCGGGCGTGGGAAATTTGAAAATTTGAATTAACCTATGACCCTCAGTCTTGCTACTGTTGCTAAGTAACCTGCTGATGACTCAGAACCCAACTCTTTCCTCCCCAATACCCTATATATTTGTTACTTATTCCTTGAATAAATGAGACTTGATGGGACTTCTTCACTGGACTTGTCTCCGTTCCTTGCATCTCTTGTTTCCTTTTCATCCCCACTCCCCCTCTAGGGTCTCTGTGGACTTACCCGCAGGCCAGGACAATAAATAAAAAGTATCCAGATTGGAAAGAAAGAAGCAAAATGGCCAGGACCTCCACAACACACCTGTCTGAAAGAAACCAGAAACATGACAAGAGATAGAAATTTTTAAAAAACCTCCACCTGCTGACCCTGGGAAAATAAGCCCAGGAAAGGCAATATTAGCCACAACATCAGCAAACATAAAGAAATACATTTGTGACCTCATAGATGAACTTAAAACTGAAATTCTAATCCAAGTGAGGCAAGATATAAAAAGATTAATTAAAGAAATGTTAAGCTCCTCCCAGGAAAACACAGATGGAAGAATGGAGGAACCCAGAAAAGGAAGAGAAACTTTTGATGAAAAATATAAACAAAACCTAGAATAGATGAAACAGATCCAAAGAGATTACCAGAAAACTAAAAACTCCATTAAAAGCTAGCAAAATGCCTTGACAGAAACTAAAGTTAGCCTTTCAAAACTTGAGAGATTTATAATGTGTGATTGTGAAAGAAAATATCTCTTAAAAATAACAAGGAACCAGGAAGAAACAATTCAAAGGCTAGAAGACAAGAGGATCTATAATTTAAGAACAAAAAACATGAGCGAAGAAGCAGGAGTAACCACAAATGAATTACAAAGACTATTCACAGAAATAATTAAGGAGCATAGGAAAAAGAAATGATATCCAGTGAGTGCTGGATAATAATTAAGGAGCATAGGAAAAAGAAATGATATCCAGATAAATGAGGCATACAGAACTCCAGCCATCTACAATCAAAACAGATCTACACCCAAACATATAATAATCAAGATCCCAGAAATCCACCACAAGAACAGAATATTAAAAGCAGCCAGAGAAAAGCAGCAGATCACCTACAAAGAAAACATCATCAAAATAACGACAGACTTATCAACTCAAACTATTAAATTGAGAAGAGCCTGGGGGGGAAATAGTCCAAGCCCTGAAAGAAAATAATCTCCAACCCAGATTGATGTACCCAGAAAAACTGTCTCAAAACTAATGGAGAAATAAGATATTTCCAAGACAAGGAGAAAATGTGGGAGTTCATGGCCACCAATCCAACCTTACAAAAAATACTGAAGGACATTCCAGAAAGAGAAAAAAAAAATACCAGGATTCCAGCAACAGTGGCAGAGAGGCCTCAATGAACAGGGCAGACAGTGGAATGAAGGAGAAAAGTGGACAAATAATAGCAGAAAAATAGAATAGCAGAGATGAAGCAGAGAAGGTAGGCTTTAATCTTTACTATAGATAGCCTTGATACACTAACAAAGAAACACAGGTACAGTAGATTAGGAGGCAGGATCCATCAAGATGCTCTGAATAGGAAATATAATCAACCTGAAAGAGGGTTAATAAACTGAAAGTCAAAGATGAGAAAACAATGCCATATGTGACAGGAAACCAGAGAGAAATAGGGACAACTCTTTCTGCAGCCGCAGATAGATTGGAAAGTTATGACACTTTGGGGCAGTATAGAACTACACAGCGGAAGAAAGGAAATCCTTGTAACTTTAGTAAGTAAAGGAGTACAACTCATGATCAAGCTCAAGGGTAAAAAGGTTCAGCAACACTCAGATAAATAATGGGTTGACCCCTTAATCTAAAAACTAAAGCATTAGTGGGACCCAAAATATACAAAGCATCCTGAGAAGGGCAAAGGTGAGAAATTGCCTAAAAAAAGGAAAGCAGAGGACACTGTTAATAGTGTATCAGGATTTTTTTTTTTTGTCTTTTTCATTTTTATCAGTACCGGGGATCGAACTCACGACCGCCTGCTTGCAAGGCAGGTGCTTATGCCGCTGAGCTAAATCCCCAGCCCCAGTGTATCAGGATTTAAAAGTCACAATAGTCTTATTGCTCTGTTTAGTTTGATTGCATTTTGTTCTGGTCTGTCTACTCATATTAGATTTGAGGGCACAGCCAGCTATCCCAAAAATAGCAGGTTATACCACAGTAACTATCTTTAATCTCCTATTAACTTAAACTGAAACTCTGTATTACTTACATTGTCTTACTGTGACTGATCTTATTTGAACCTGGTTTGTTAGATGGCTGTTTAGCCTTGACTGTTTTTATTTGAATTTGGTATGCTTATCAAGTCTAAGAGTAGAGGCAACTACTCTGAAGATGACTAAGATGTAAAAGATACCCATTCCAGTTTGATTAACTGCTTTTGAAGTCCTACAATGTCTCCAAAGTTGTGTTTTTATTAAAATAGCTATGTAATGCTATGTTCAATTATATTATGTCTGATGATGTAGAAAATTCTATTAAAAACAGTAAGAGAAAGCAT